GCTAAACTGATGCACTTATGTTTATGTATTAACAGGAAATGTAATTTAAATCTTATTTTTACAACAGCATACTATTTTAAAGCAAAAATAATGTAGTTTTAATATAATTATTATAAATGCAGTTTTCTTCCCAGAGGACGGCTTATCTGAGATATATTAAAGCTATCAAAGGTCTACATTGACTTCACAATCATTCATATGAGATGCATGAATTGTTCCTGTCAACTTCTTGGAGACAAGGACTTGCATGGAGATTACTCACATCTGGAACATGTGGAAGCAGCTTGTTAATCTCTTATCTAGCCTTTGTCAAATGTTCTACGGCTATATAAAGACTAGATGGAAGCATCATTCAGTCATACAAAGTGGGAAATAAGTCAGTTTGTCTCTCAACCTTTTGCCCAAGGTAAGACATATGTGGCAAATTATATAGCTGATCAAAGGTTTAAATACGTTCAGTCAAATTCCTCCAAATCTCTTCCCTAGCCTTTTTCAAATGTTCTACAGCTATATAAAGACCAGAAAGAAGTATAACTCATTCATGCAAAGTGGGGAACAAGTCAGTTTGTCTCTCAGCTCTTTGCCCAAGGTAATATATGCATGGCAAATTGCATGGCTGATTAAAGTTTTAAATAAGTTCAGCCAAATTCTTCTAAACCAAGCTGCTCCCTTAAAAAATACTGCCTTATTTGGCTCTTAAACCAATATTGTTTTCTGCAGTTCACAAATTAAAGCAGCATTCTTGTATCAACTGCTCTGTAGTGCTTTGTTTACCATCTACTGGAACAATTACTAACATCATGCTGGGCTAGTGAAAACAGCAAATAGATGCACTAAAAGGCTGGGACACAGGCAGCAGAATGATTTACCCCATTTTGAAATACACCCACATTATATGCAATTGCTATTAAGATCACTTACACTGCTGAGTTCAATAGAGTTACGCTGCCTTAGACTGCTCTTTACTTCCCAAAGTGTAATTCAAAGTTATGTTATGATTTAGTAGATAAAACCATTCAGATCCTCTAGCAGGACAGTGCCAATGGAAATGACTGCAGCTTTGTCTTGTGAAGTGATCCAGGATCAGTATGAGACTGTGAGTCCCAAGGAAGTGGTTAAGGCTGTCTGTAGTGTCAGCTGTGCCACTTCTCTATCAGATTCCTGTCCCTGGAGGTTAGTTAAGGCCTCTCACAAGGTGCTAAGAAGTTAGGATTGAGCAGCAATTAACACCTCTCTGAGTGAGGGGGTGTGCCCATCACCTCTGAAAGAAGCTGTGGCGTGCCCGCGGCTCAAAAAGCCTTCACTCAACCTGACTATTCTCGATAATTTCAGACTGCTCTCCAATTCCCCTTTCTGGAAAAGGCCATAGAGGAAGTGGTGGCACTGCAACTTCAGAAGACTATAGAGGAAGGGGATTAACTGGACCCTAGGCAGACAGGTTTCAGCTACAATATAACATAGAAACTGCATTGATCACATTTGCGGATGAGCTTTAGAGAGACCGGGATCAGGAGGGTGCATCCCTTCTGGTCCTCCTTGATCTCTTAGTAGGTCCACGGTATCCTGTTGGACCAACTCTGTGGGACTGGAATGGGGGGCACTGTTCTTTAGTGGTTTTCCTCCTTCCCAAGGAGTTAGTTCTGGTTGGTGTTGGTGGGGGGAGAGATCTGCTCAGAGGTCTCTACTTCATGGATTGCCTCAGGGCTGTCTACTCTCTCCATTCCACTAACATCTGCCTAAAATAGTTGGAGGAGGGTGTCTGTCAGCACAGAACAGGGTATCTTTGGCATGCTGATGATATTTAGTTATACCTGTTGGCCCGCATAATTTCTTACCTATTTACCCAGTAATAACTAGAAAAGAGATTATTAATCTCTTATAGATAACCTGTAACATACAATGTAATTTACAAACTTTTCTATTCCTGATAACAGCTATATGGCCGTATTTATATACTGCACCAAGGCAAAAATGGCTTGTCTTAGACTTGCCACGATGTAAGAACCTACAACATCACATTCAGCCCTAGAGGAGAAGACACTGGCTACAGTCACTCATGTTCTCATCACTTAGATGACCCAGAAATTGTAACTACTGTAGTACAAAATGCAGCAATGTCAATTGGGATAACCTATGTCGATTGGGATAACTGATATTGTCATGAAACACCAGTACTGCAGGATCTGTATTGGTTGCCAGTTTGTTTCCAGGTGCGGTTCAAAATGCTGGTGATCACCTTCTATAGGGGTTGGGGTCTGGCTATCTACGAGACTATTAGACTAAGTAAAAATCTGTCCTCCTGCTGGATATAAGATCCACACCCCAATTTTTAATATTCAGGAAGTTTTAGAAATCATGGCTTTTTAAATATGCAATTTGGTGACTGAAGCAGTAGTAGGTGGAAGTAATTGTATGTAATGAATATTCTGTATTTATTTAGCGTATGGCATCTCATACATGGGCTTACATTAAATAATAACATTTAGCCTAAGTTAAAAACACT